ACGTTTGTTTAATTATTTTACACCTATTCGCACAACATTTATTTTGCAAATTATTTCGACAGAAGTCGATTGTCGAAAAAGCAAAAGGTTTGTATCTTTGATATACAAGTCAGTCTATTTTTCATTTGAATTACACTTCAACATTCATATATTATACAAAATAATTAAGTTATACTTCACCAAAAATATGAAGACTAGTGCATCTTAGAATGAAACATTATATGTGCAACAATTGAATTAATGAATAGCGTCAATATTAGTATTATCCGTGTATTAAATACGATTTATTTCAATATCAAACACATATTTATCCTTAGTTCAACAAAAATAACTGATTAAAATAAGATCCAATTCAAATTTTGTACTTTTTTTTTTATCAATATAATCCAACCTAAATCTGTTATTTTTATACCAGTTAAAATTAGATGTCGTTCTAAAACGACTGGCATCGGAAAATAACCAAACAGATCAAAACCGTTCTAGTTTTAATATATTAATTAACGAATGCCCATAAAGGGTGTCTCATAAATTGTGATCTCTTTCAAGTAATACTCCTTTGTTATATAGTTTTTTCGATAGAATAGGCTAATACTCATAACATATATGCTAGACATCTAGATCTACTCTACGCTAGGATTTCAGTTTTCTATCTCTTATAGTCATAGAGATACAAGTAACTTAAAATTCATAGAAGGTTTTTGAAATAATTAATGGGTAGGCCAGAATAAATGACTACATTTTGTATTTTATTTTCTCATCATCCAATATGTTATATTAAAAAGCAAAATATATCACCAGATGTATCGTGAAAAGCTCTACAACATACACGGGGAAGTTTATTTTAATTGTATACTTTTTCTTTTCAAAGTAAGCAAAGTTCTGTGCGACCAATTATTGATACTACGAAAAGATCAATTTTTTTCTATACGAACGAATTCCTTTTTGCTTACTTCATCTTTTTATTGCCTAATACGTATTTCTAAAAAAAGCAGACTGTACCATAAGATGTAGCATGAAAAGCTCTACAATCTATATAGTAGAGCTTATCTTCATTGTGTACTTTTTATTTTCAAAAAATTGCGACCACTTGTCCCACCGTCAAAACTTGATTACACAGAATTTTGCTTATTTTGAAAAGAAAAAGTATACAATTAAAATAAGCTTCTCCATGTAAGTTGTAGAGCTTTTCATGATGCATTTGATGGTATATTTTGTTTATTAATATGACATATTAGATGATGAGAAAATAAAATATAAAATGCAGCCATTTATTGTGGCCCACCCATTAATTATTTCAAAAATCTCCTATAAATTTTAAGTTACTTGTATCTCTATGACTATAAGAGATAGAAAACTGAAATCCTAGCGTAGAGTAGATCTAGATGTCTAGCATATATGTTATGAGTATTAGCCTATTCTACCGAAAAAACTATATAACAAAGAAATATTACCTGAAGGCGATCAAAACTTATGAGGCATCCTTTAACTATTCTTTCATTGTTCTGTATTGGCGTGCTTGAAATTGTAGCATAGTCCTGATGAGTATTTATATTTCAATTAAATAACATGAAAAACATTGGCGAATTGAACTCTACATTTCTTTGATATCGGTAATCAAAGCAAAGGAATTTATTATTCTATTATTATTTAATTTTCAACTTAATCCATTGTTGAAAAGCATAAGTTGACATTAGCAAATTGAACTTGTCTTTTCTTTAACAGGCTAAGTCGATCTGTTGTTGATTAATTTACCCACACCCCAAACTATATATTTAATTACAAAAACAAAAAAAAAATTAGTATAGAAATAATGTGCAAAAAACGAACTACGATACAAATCAGCTATGTTTTCTATGAAAATAGATACAAAAACTAAAAGCAAAATACTGTTAAAATATGCACGGATTAGTATAAAAAGAAAAAAGGAAACATGTTCAAAGTTTGACTGAGATCGACAATGCTTAACCTTGGAAGCACGCGAACCGTTGTATGCGATTATTGGTTGAGTCGGCCACGTACACATTACCTTGACTGTCGAGTCGAACGGCAGAGGGCGCACGTAATGAGGCCGGAGCAGCGTTGGATAGTCCAGATACTCCTGCAATGGTAGTACCATCAGTTTGACCAACCAAAAAGAACTGTATGCGATTGTTTAACCCATCGGCCACATACATATTTCCCGAGGAATCGAACGTTACATCGTAGGGTGTGTTTAGAAGTGCTGGTGTACTACCAGCTGTTCCAGCACTACTACCAGCAAGAACTGTTCGTACAGTGGCTCCTAAAACCCAACGAACAATATTGTGAGACCCACTATTAGCGATCACTAGACTATTTGTTGTTGAATCGAAATAGAGACCGGCCGGATTGTTCAACTGATTGTTGGCATTTCCAACTAAATTACCGCCAGCAACCGAAACACCAGCCGCTGCACCTAATACGTATTGCATCACACGGTGATTTCCACTATCACTGATGTAAAGTGTGCCCGTGTTATTATCACGTGTGATACCAGACGGACCGCTTAATCCTGAAAACACACACACATGTTTCAACGAAACACAACAGTATTTGATGAAGCTTTTCGAATGATTTCATTCATAAAACATGATTTCAATTGACGAAAGAGTACTAGCATATCCAGGATTTTTTTGAACACTGGACAAAACCCGAGCAGAGATCGATCATAGACTGGGCTGTTATAGGTAATCTTAGAAGTTTATTCGACAATTATTGCTTCTTGATGTTTTTCTTGCGTAATGAACTCAAATTTTCGTAATTTGTCATTGTCAAGCTTTCTTTGCTTGTTTTTGAAAATATTCTTTCGATTTAACAAGCATTGTGGACAGTCAGATATTCTTGCTCTAGGATTGAAATATATTTTCTGGTGTATGAAAGCAATTTTAAGAAGCAGTTTCTTTTGAAAATGTTGAAATTTTGCACAAGGAAAGTGGTAACCGAAGACTTTACATATACATATTCAGGCATACTTGACTTTCTAAATCAGAACGACTATTATTTGTTATTTAATCTAATGTAAACTTGTTGAAGCAATGTATTTTCTCAATCTATCGCATAATAATGGAGTCTTTTGTGCATATAAAAATCTCTAGTTTCAAAACAAAAGTGAACTTCTGTTTTAGAACTATGAACATGTGTTCAATATACAAGAATGCAAAGATAATATCACCGATGGCAGCAACCGTCGAAAACAGTTTTTGAAAAACTTGACAAGTAAAATTTAGATTTGAGTCTGAAAGATTTGAGTAAAATTTATTCTTATAGGAGTAACTGGAAAAATTATTTTTCATTCCTACTTCGTTGTTGGATATGGAGAAATTTTTAATGATCATTTAGAAAATTCTATTCAGAAGATTAATAATCTTCGAACTGCAGCAGTTTCTATATTTTCTGTTTGCAGACCCGGAAATTCATTCATTAATCAATAATTATCTATTGGATTCAGTAACTGATTGAAATGTAATTAAACAGTTTGAGTCGAAAAATCGACTACTCGACTCAAGAATATTGAGACTCGCGTATTATCGTTGAAATTCAAAACTTTTTCCTATTGTACTCTTGTACGTCGAATATGACTACACGTTGAGCTAGTAATTTGCACAGCTATGGTAATAGTTTGAGAGATGAGACATTTTTTAAAATACACAATAACAATGTACATGAAAACTGAGTGACAGTAGAACTTATCATGTGTATGTCTGTTAGTTAATCATCGCATGTTATGTAACAACCGAAGATTTCTACAGAACATAGTAAAAAGAAGACTCTCATCCTCAAAGTAGAATAAGACTTGCAAAATATCTGGTAAAATGTTTGTTGTAGAATATTGCACTCTTGAGAAGTTATGATATCCAGAGTTATGATGTATAATTTCTGAAAAAGTGAAACCATCAGTAAAATGATTACCAATGTGTTAGAACTCTATAAAATTGATTCGAATTTTGTGTACTTAAAGCTCTATCGACTATGTACATGTTGATGGGTAAAATAGTCAAAAGTTTTGTAACTCCTACGAAAGACAAGAGTTTCGACGTGGATGATATGAAATCTCAGATTCCATGAAATACAAAAATATTCAAATTACAGTTTATGTCATCAATCGGAGTATACTAGGAAAAAGCTATCCTTACAAAGGTTCGACTAATAGAGTCTTAGGAAGCTTGAGTGCCAGTGTAGCGAATACTTTTGAGCGACACTGTAAAAGGTTAGCACCTAGAGAAGAAGGCTTATTTTTGAATACAACTGTTACCGTATACTCTAACAGTCATTTGGGCTAAATGTGAGAATCAAATTTGGGATCAAAAATATTTTATTCTGTGTTTTCATAAATTCCGTTCAAGATATCGAAAACCTAGTAGACTGTTGACGACCCAGCTTCCATTGTCCATAGACACGAATATTTTAAGATCTCTTCTAGTAATATTGGCACCTACTACTGAGCAATGTATGAGCTTGAAGATAAGAAAACAGTTCGACGACTTTGATTGTTATGTGAAACTATGGGCGCGAGACTTGTAACGTTATGGTTTCATTATTCTTTCTCTAAGTCAACATCTGATCTTAGTTCTTCTTTTCGATCTAACTGAAATTATTTTCAACTATCTATTTTACCTAGTTCGATTTCAAGCGGCTTTTGAAGAACATTACACTATGTATTCTTTAGCAGGAGAACAAAACAAGACAAATGTTTTTCGATAAGAGAATAGAGGATCATCATTTGATCGAAACTATATAGAATATCACTGCTTGTTTCGATAAATGTCGAAGGAATTCAAAACTTCTAAAAATTAGCTTGGATGCATACTATCCAGGTCTAAAATAATACATAGAAATCGGCTATTAATCGCAATTACTCTCAAGTTTTCGCGTTTCTTTCTCGGTGTTTCGTGATAAATTCATGATTTTGAAGTTATGTACAATTACGTGCGAAAAATGCTGCTACCTTTTAGACTGAAATCGTCGTGATTATCATTTGAATCTCAAACTGTCTTACCTGTGACGGAAATGGTAGTGCCCTGAACTGCTAGAGTTGGCCAGGATTGAACTCGATTATTATTGGTATCTGCCACATAGATGTTACTACTTGTGTCGACAACAACACCCTGAGGGCCATTGAGCTGATTAGCAGCTGTTCCTGATGCTGCATTTGCCTGGCCAGCTACTACCGTACCACTGGTAGCCCCTATCACCCATTGCAAGACTCGGTTATTTCCAGTATCAGCTATATAAAGTGTATTGTTTGAATCCAAACTAATATCATTAGGATTGTTGAGCCGGTTGAGTGTAATACCAGTAGCACCACTAGCATCACCTGCTACAGTCGCGCCTGTTGTATTCCATTGAAGTAAACAGCGAGTAGCTAAAATAATAAACAGAATTTCAATGTGAAAGTCTAGCAGCAGAACTAGATGGCATAGGAGCTTTGCTCAGTGTGGGAAATGTGGTGTGTTTGCTGAATTTTCGATTGATATCCGTTGCCCTGAAAAGATCTTTCAAACAATACGAGTTCTTTCCTAGGCTACAGCTCATATTTCGTGGCATAGAAGCTTTTATTCGTGTTGGAATAAGAATAAGATGTGTCTCCAATCAATCTCCAGATCATCACAACATAATATATATAGACCGATGCAAACTTCGAGAAGATTAAACACAACAGGATAGAGGCGAAGCAACCTAGAAATTTGAGAGCAATCGCTTTTTATCACAATGCTCTCTGCTATGACCATGCGTCGATTTGTTAACTTTCATCATCACGAGAAAAACAGAAGTTCCAAACATTAAAATCACTCTTCATGAAACTTATTGGAGACTGACGAAAATCTATATGAATAATTAACCATTATAAGATCTCAAAACTTTTAATAACCTACTTTTTTACTCCTTTGCCACTCTCTTAGTTATCCTTCGCTAATCAATTGATAGTTCACTTCCGTTATATATTTTATTGCCTCTTCTTTTGATGAATTATGTCTCGTTCGAGCGAATCGATGTATTATTTCCAAGACTATAGCAGTTCTAGCTCGAAAGAATTTAGTTACAGTTCTTCTAATCTGATAGACTACTTCTATTTACTTGGCATTTATGAGATTACGTTGTAATACTTTTTCTTAGCTACCAGTATTGTCTATACGATTCTGATAAAGATTGAGCGTTAGATCATCTTCTTGAAGTTAAAACTGGTGAATTAGATTACAGAAGATCCTATTGTCTTATGATCAAAAGCAAACTGTATGGTCACAGTTACCATGATTCTTTCTGATTAAGAAATCAATTCAAGCAAAATAGAAGGAATACATTCAGTCGCAAAGTATTTTCAGTATCAATATTTTCATAGGTGGAAAATTGAAATTGATTGATTGTGTGATAGCGAGGCAAACTAAGTAACATAGACTAGAAGACAGTAAAAGTTTCATGTAACTCATAACTAGCTGTATCCTATTGAGACTTTTGCTAAAAATCATGAAACAAGAACAGCAAAACTTTTATGTTTTGTTACTCTTGTTTGCAATCTTATACACACAGATTGATATGATAAATCGTGAAGTATCCTTGAATGAGTCTGATCAAAATAGAACTTGATATAGAGTCTCATACACAGAAAATTATAGTGATGATCAGACAACTAACCTACTGTTGTTGTGGTAGATGTTGTCGATGTTGTGGATGTTGTAGATGTGCTGGATGTTGTCGAAGTACTAATAGTGATGGTTGCAGTAGTCACTGTAGTTGTGCTTGTCGTTGTAACGTCTATTAAATTTTCGTTGCTATTATGTAATCCGATACCCAAGCCTAAACCCAATGACATTCCAATTATTATTAGACTACTGCTAACTCCCACAGCTATTACTAAAGGTAAAGGCTTCCAAGGACTAGCTATTTTTGACGCGACGGCCGGAGAAGCACTCATGATGCTTAAGGACGAATAAATGATATTTTTTGTAAATAAAAAATCAGACCTTTTTCTTTACCGACGATGCGTTCTCTATTTAACGTCCAGGTGACGCTGTTTATACATACATAGAAAAGACATATAGAAGAGAATCCATCAGTGGCCTTCGACGTGATGATATAGTTTTTATGATAAAAGAAAATATATTTTGGCGTGTTTATTCGTCACGATTCTTTATAGCTATGTTGAGAGACATGTGACACTCACACACATACCTATGCGTACAAACGCTAATCATATTTTCTTTTCTTTTTTATGCGGTGTTAGTTTTATGTTTATTCAATTTAATATACCTTCCTTCATTCATTCTTTCAATAAAATAAGAACGAGTTAGTCGTCCTGTCACTCACATGTCATCCTTAATTTAGATTTATCGTTAATCAAAACGATTTCATCCGGAAACCAAAATTTCTTAGATAGTGCGGCAAATATTTTGATTATTCTATGCATTTAACTAATCAATTTGTCTGGAAGGATTCTCTCCATTGACAATGAATCTCCTGAAGAAAGCTGAAATAACGACTTAGACCTATGTAAAAGTGATGGCAGAGGTACTTTATTTCAATATAGAAAGCTTGAAGAAATTTTCTCTTTATATGCAGTGATAATAGAAACAATGTTCTATTTTTCTATGGTATTGAATCATTCTTCAACTAATATCATAATAATAAAATTTTGATAAGGTATGTTTCTTATAGCATGTAACGATAACATTAAATCAAAGTATCTTCGACGTGTATATTCCTTTACTCTTCTCTTCTCTTTTTTCTGTTCTTCGTCGTCTTCACGAATGTCAAATCGTCTACACAAGGATATACATATATATTAAGACACGTGTCCTGTTTGTTTCTTTTTGTGTATGTTTGATTTATAAATGTGTTCTTAAGAAAATTAAAGAAATAAAATTAGATTAAACCTTAACACTGTTCATCTTTGTTTTCAATGAATAGTGAAAAGTTTTCGCTTCGACATTAAAAAGTGTGTATTACACTTAATATTCAAGCAAGAGTTATCCATGATGAACTATATTCTGTTTTCGGGGATGAAGCTTCGCTTTGAACAGTTGAAAGATGGCCTAAATGATTTCGTGTAGATGGTGAAGAGATCGAAGACGAAGTACGATCTGGCAAGCGTGTAATCGAGATAACACCTGAAGATATTGAACAATTCTGTAGCCTTATTAATGATGATTCTCATATTACAATTGAAGAAATACAGCAGCAAACTGATCTGAGTTATGACACTATTTACCAGATTCTGCATCGAATGATGATATTTTCTAGGGATGAGGTTGCTCCAAGAGAGGAATAATTTACAAAGAATATTATAGTGTAATGTTGATATGAATACTGAAAAATTCCTTGGATACATATCTTTCAATATTTGACAGTTCGATGTGTGTTTGAGGTATCATGTTGCACATCAAGTATAATATTTAATATGCAAGAGAAATAGCAGCAAAAAAAGTCTTTCACATATGCAAGTGAACTATGATTCTTATAAATCTTCGTGTATTTCCTTGAAAATCTTTGTGACATATTTGAACTGTTTGGTGCATCACATTAAAATAATTTGATAAGTCATTTTTCTGCTATTATCGTACAATATCAGTGTAAGTATGCTTTGTATATGAGTTCACTGACATGTACGACAAATGATAGTTTAAATATCAAAAAAAGTTCTGCTGTTTTCTGTATATCTTTTTTTTTTTCAGGGAGAAAAAAATTACGGCATCAGGAATCACAGGCTGTCTTATTCACATTAACAATAAAAGATAATAATTTCTTGATATAGCTATTTGTGTTTTCTTATAAATTAAGCTTTGCTTTTCTATAGAATCGCAGCGTGACAATTTTAGACAACATGAACATTCATTCTGACGAGATATATATTGATTGATATCAGTGATATTCGGTGTAGAAACGTCAAAACTCATCATTTAGGCAGCGCCATTGATGGCAAGGCAATCAAACCCATCATGAAATATAATGATTACTACAACAAGAATATAAAAAAAGGCAAAATTCAATCATCATAGAATTACGATGAAAGCAACGGAAGACCCATCAATCATGCGATTTCCCATACTATCTCTCCAGCATGTTTGTATTTTTACATATGTTCCTGAAGAGAGTTAACTGAACTTCACTTAGCTGAGACATAAATTGAGTATAGAATAAAAGCACAATCCCCAAAAGAAAACTACTGCAGACTGTTTCTTTCAATACATTTCAGCAATGAGAACAACACAATCAACCCAAATATCATGAAGATGACGGAAAAGTCTCGTATTTCGAGCTGAATCTTTCATTTTTGTCTGATGACCGCTCCCAATATCTTCCCCTTGCCACTTGAAAATATCACCAACTGATAGAGACTTTTTTTCTACATCTAACCCACCTAACCAGAAACTTATGCCAAATCTAGGAGCGAATATCAGCAGGAAATGCTCGAATCCGCTGCTAACTTCCCTTATGTGTAATCATAACGACGAACTTTCGTGTAATACAAAATTCTTTTTTCTTTTTATTTTCCAGTTATAATATAATTCTCGGTTCTCGAAAGATGCAGGAGTGGATCAAACTCAACGATACTGCAGTATTGAGACGATCCGTGACATAGGTTCGAATGAATTCATATTATCCATACTGATGTTCAAAGCTCTGCTTGGAAGAGACTAACATCGGCTTTCAAACCGACGAGAACAGATATTATATTTTGATCTTACCCGAAAAGATCAACAAGCGATCACTAAACTGACAAAGACAAGTTTCTTTTATTCATATTGTCCATACACATTTCATGTTTGCATCAAAAAGAAAATGGTTTACTCTTTTCTTACTAACAGCATTATTCAGCATGATTCATTGATAATTGATATTTTGAAAGAATGAAGCTAGCTACTACATAATTCACACTAATTAGATGGCGTATATTTCTACAGATACACATTTTCATCTGTAGTGTTATGTGATCGTCACCCATATAATCATTTCACTATATTATTTTTTCATCTCAACTCGTACAAAGTGATGGAACGACTTCGATAGATCTCAGTGTTACTTTCTTTTAATTTTTTTATGAAAGGATTGCTCTGGCAGACTAGTGTTGTCACTAGCCCATGCATTTTCGTCATTACAACAAGTGTTTGATGAGAATTAATCATTTACCTCTTGATAATTAGTAAAAAGTGACTTGATTCGAGAGTATGTCAAATGCGAGAACTGACTTGTCCCAACACAAGTCGTGTCGGTGAAGGTAGAAAAAAAAGAAAAAAGTGTTGACATACAACTGATGTTGTGATATGCAGAGTCTTCAGAAAAGTTGTTTGTTACAATTTATCAAGAGGTAAATGATCAATTCAGTTTAAAAACATGTTTCAATGATGAAAACGTGTGAACTAGTATTATCAACACTAGCCTACCAGAGCAACCCATCACATAATTCATCAGGAAAAATAACTCCATTCCATTATGAATTTCTGATCATCTGAGAAGATCTATGTTAGCATTTTTTCATTTAAAAAGAATACTCATTCGAATAAATTATTCTACTGATTAAAATAAGAGCAAAGGTTGTATAGAAAATGTCTTCTTTTACCATAGATAGAAGAAATTTTCGAAATGTTTAGTGTTTTAACTGATAAAGAAATGTAGCTCGTTGTATTTCAATAATCAAAACAAAAGAGAGCATAGAAGAAAATAACAAGATCATATGCACATACGTAATATGACAGAAAAATACGTAAGGATTCTAAGCATTACTTAAAAGAAATATTGGACAAGTATACAGATCAAGAATATAAACCTACTGCCGACGAAGCAGATGTGTTTATGGCGATTTTCAATTTGACGATTTATTTGATAGTTTTTCCTAATTAATAAAAAAAAATCACCGGCCTCTAAAATATTGAAATGCAAGCATTTGTGCAATAATATAAGTTCAGGTTTGAGGTTGGTGAGATTGCTGTTTGTCGAGTGGAATCAAAGAAGAATCACTGTTTGAATAACATGCATTCACATAGGCATATAGGAATATAAAAAAAAAGGGGGAATTTCAATTGCACAAATACTGAGAGAAATAAGAACGAAAAAAATAATAATAATAAAAATGTACAATTAACGTCGAATTTTTTAGTTTGATGTTGTTAAAATTTGAACAACACATTTAATAATCACTGATGATCCATTGTTGAGATAAACTTTTTGAGTAAATGGAAGTGAAGGTTTAGTTAAGAATGTATCAAGTGGACATGGAAGAATATCAGTAAGATGTACTGATATATAACCAAGACTTTCTAAATACATAAAATAAAAACAATTTTTTTTTTAATCTACAGAATTAATTAGAAAATAAACCGTTAGGTGAAAAATATTCATTATCAAATATATTGATATGAATCATATCTTCTTTAAGATTATATATGAGAAATTGCATAGGTGCATTCCATTTTGGATTAATTGTTCGTTTCATAAATGGTGTTTTTAATGTTAAGGAACAGACAGTTATTTCACAATACGGATCCACAGAACCTTTAATAAAAAAAAAACAATTCGGAAATATTGATATTAATATTGAGAAAAATAATACTAACGATGTCGTTCAAGAGTTTTATTTGATGGCATTAAATCTTGAGCTTCTTGTACGACAAGAAGAAGACGTGCAACAGCTGCTCTTGAATTATGTTTATTGCCTTCAAAAAGACAAAAAAAATTATGAATAAAAATCTCTAAGCGATATAAATAATCGGGGATTTTATAGAATGAAATAATGTATTTAAAAATCTCAAAGGAAAAAGATAAAAGATGTACGACATGACTTATAATCGAACTCTTCATATTAAAGATGAATCTTGG